GTCTTCCATATGTCTCAAAATATTGACAGCCTGAAGAAGTAATGTGAAGAGCAAACAGAAGGTGAGGAAGAGGGTGATTACTCAGGACAAACAAGTGGGATGGAGGCCAGCTGTTCTCCATTTTTTTTTTCTTGAGGACAAAGAGTTCCCTTCTGGGAACAGTCCCAGCACGTTTTCTTCCACTTAGTTCTTACAGTCTTGGATTGTGGCTATTTGTGTAGGAGGCTCATCTTCTCTACTGAACTGTAAGCTGGACCCCTTTCCGTCTTCGAAGCCCCTTAGGATAGGACCTGGCAGTTAACAGGCACACGGCGGCTGTTCGTTGAAAGAGGAGCTGATGGTGGTCAGAGCAGGAATCTAAGTCACACAGAGCTAAGGTCTGTTTTCTCAAGGGTTGTTGAGTCAGTGAATAATTTGCTGAGGGAACATTATCTACTCTTGAGTTCATTTTTTTCCCTCTTTGTTCTTTCTTTGCTTTTTTTTTTTTTAATTTCTCTCTTTTTCTAAAGAAAAACATATCCTTATCAATTCGAAATGATTTAAATATGGTCTTGTGTATGGCCAATAGCAAATGAACTGCCAAGCTCTGCCAAGCTCATAGTGCTGCGTCCAGAGCTCAGAGCCCAGATTCTGGATCAGAACTATCAGTATCCGTCTCTTTTCTCCGTTCTCACTTTTCTGCCTATCAGCTGGGTTTGAAGTCACGGTGAGAGTGATGAACCAGTCAGTGTTAGGACTTGTGCATCTTACCCTTCCCTGGAGGCTTCCTACTGGTAGCCTCATCTAGGCTGGTGAATCTCTATTTCTGAGACAAACCGATGGTGGCCTGAACTTCTGGATCTACTCTTGCAAAAGTGGGGGCCATCCGAGCCATCCATAGTGTGGCTGTTTTGCTGATACATTTTTTTTCCCCTTCTGGAAACTGTCCTAATGAGGACTCCAACTCTAGCAAAAGACTTTCTAAAAAGTATCTAGTATTTCTCCAATTGGCCCTAGATGTCATTCCCTCTGCTGGCAATCATATGCAGAGCTAGGGTGAATCTCTCTCCCGCTCCCGCCTATGAATTTGTGGCACCTAGCGGCCCAGTGAAAAGAAAAAGAAAATGTTAAGCTGTGGGTGGCAATGCACGCCTTTAATCCCAGCACTCAGGGAGGCAGAGGCAGGCAAATCTTTGTGAGTTCAAGCCATCCTGGTCTACAAAGCCAGTCCAGGACAGCTGGGGCTACACAGAGAAACCCTGTCTCAAAAAAAAAAAAAATGTGGAGGAGCTCCATCCTTCTGTTTGATAGGCAAACCATGTTTCTGTCAAAGTGGCTTCCTTAGGAGAAGTTTGGCCTCCACGGTCAAATTTTCAGACACTTTGGATCTATGGAAGAGATGTTTTTGTCCTTAATTTCTCTTTCTTCTCAGGCTCCAGAGGTTCCTAATTTGTTTATATTTCTTAGAATTCCGTTTCAAAGGAAACAAACAAAAACAGCCCCCCCCAAAACAAAACAAAAAAGCAAGGAAACAAACACCATGGTGGTAAAGGAGGGGTCCCTGATGTACTTGGTGGAGACTGGGCTCTTCAGGGGAAGTAGGGAGCAGTGGTTTCCTGTTGAACTCGATGTCTGGGGCTCCTCTTGCCCTTGACGGTTCCTTGGTATCCGAAGCCTGTAGTTAAACCTGCATCATGCTTTCCTCCTCCAGCAGATGTTGCCGTGTGCCACTGAACAGCAGGAAGGCACTGGGGGCAGTCCCTCAGGGTCACTGCAGGACCGACTCTTTTCTGGGCGTTCTAATATTACAAATCTGTGTTCTCTTCTATGGCCATGTCAGTCACGCAGCTAGCAGCTATTGAGCATATGAAATGTTTGTTAGGGCTGAGCTGTCTTTCAAATGTAAAATAAACAGGCCAGTCTCAAGGACTTGGGGTGTAGATAAAGAAAACTGACTGGTAATTTTTTTTTTTAACCAAGTACACAAGAAAATGATAGTTTTTTGGATTTATTCAGTGAAATGTCACCTGCTACTAAATATTTCTTCTCTCTGACCCTGTCTCTCCTTTTAACACCTTACTTCCTCCCTTCTCTTTTGTTTTCATTTCATTTCTTTTCTTTTGTTTTTCTTTTTGAGGCAGGGTCTTTCTGTGTTGTTCAGGCTGGCCTAGAACTTTCTATAAAGCCCCGGCTGACCTCTGATGGCAGTCTTCTGGGTCAGACTCCAGTGGGCTGGGCTCTGACCATATGCCACCCCTCCCAGCCTCCTTCCCTTTACTTTCTCAATGTGGCCACTGACCACTGAAAAGGGCGTGCAGAGTAGGTGTAAGTCGATTATTTATGCTGAACAGGGTAATTCTCATTGGATCTTTCTCTTCTGTTCTACTTCCTGTAAGCACTAGAAACGTCAGTCTGGCGGTGCTACCCTGTCACTCTGGGGGGTGGCCATGCCTTCTGCGGGTGCTTCTTGTTTTTCTAAGGAGAGTATAAACCTCTGAGTCCCTAAACCATAGAGTCAACAACCCATGACACGTGATAACCACGGAGTCAGGTGTAATGCTACGTTTGAAGATTTTGAAACTGAGTAAATCCTGGCCTCGGCCCTGGGAACCTTTTGTCTGGAGATAAGGCAGCGAAGTATTGAGTTGGTACAAGCGCTGTGGTGGATGAAGGCCGGGCCCAGGAAGTTCTCAACGGGGGCAGTGAAACCTGGAAGAAAGGCTTTCCATTGAGTCACTTATGTCTACAGTCTCTCCATCATTACCCAATCCTTTTATATATAAGTAGATTTTGTTACATTGTATAGGCAATTCAACTGGCCTGCCCTTAAGGGTCTTTAACGTCCTGACAACGTCCTATTGATGTCAGTACCTGCGCCCTATGACATCACCTGGGCCAGGTGTTTGAGATATAACCAGTCTGCCACTCCCACCCACACGAGCTCTCTTTCTGCTCTCTCTTTCTTCTCTTGCACAATCCCTCTGCCTCACTTTCTTTCTTGGGGGCTCCCCCACCATCTGTCTCTCTTTCTTTCCTTCCCTCTTTCTCTCCACCTCCATCCACTAAAGTCTTTCCTATCAGATGTCCTGTATGTGTGGCATCATCTTTATATGAATACTAACAGGTTTCTTATCACGTAAGTAATGTACTTATTATTTTAAAAAAGGAAATACCGATAAAGTAGGAAATACAAAAGTCGTCATTGACACTGTTAACATTTGGATATAATCATTTCCAGAACAAAGTTTGTCAAGAGTGAGGACCGAAACTCAGATTAGACATAGTACAAAGCTCATTTTCAGCTACTCGGTAGTTTATCCAGAGAGCCGAACAATTACCATCTACCTCTCTGCCTTGTTCTCTCCGTCTTTCACCCCTGATTTGGTCAGCCTGGCTTCATGGCTTCAGTCCCAGTTTGGTTTTCTGCTCATTTGGAAATATGGACCCTGACAGCTGGTAGTTACATGATCTTTGTGCCTGAAGTATTGAAGAGGAGGGAAAAGAGGAGGAAAGAAGAACACATTCCACTGGATCAATCACTGTGCACAGGATCAATCTGATCGAATAATCCACCCAGCACAATGTGGAGGGGAAGACTGATCTGCCCGAGAGAGAAACGGGAAGAAAGAAAAAGATGCCTGTTTTGTCCCTCCTACAGCAACCTACTTATTTGTCTGGTATAGTAACCTGGAGAGATGAAGGGAATGAGACCGTGCCTAAAACCCACCTTGAAATGTAGGCTCGTTTTTATTAAAATGCACAGGAGATAAGCCAGGTAACAAGATAAATAGCTTCAGCTCAGTGACATTAGACTTTGCTCTCCTCCCCCCTGCCTCCCACCCTAGGAAAAACACCACGGCTCCTCTTGACGAGGCACACTTCCCTTAGTTGACGTTTTAAGGAAAGAAATAAGGTGATGCTGTCAGCGTGTCTACACTCACTGTTGTAGTGTTGGGGGTGACGGTGTGTGTTGCTACCTACATCTCACCACGCAACCCTGAGGCCTGCCCAGCTTTAAGCTTGGCCGTGCCACTTGGTTTTGTGAGGAGCACAGACTTAGAAACTCCTGTGCTACCCCTCCCCAACTCTGTGTGTGTGTGTGTGTGTGTGTGTGTGTGTGTGTGCACTACTGTACAGGCCTGTACATACGTGTTCCTGTATAGAGCTAAGAAGATGACCTTAATGTGACTATGCAGGCACCGTGCACCTTGGCTTGGTGTACGCATGTGCGTGTGTATACATAAATGCATGTTCCAGTATATGTGCACGTGTGTGTAGGTGGTGAAGAGTCCAGATGTCGACGCTGGGTTTCTTCTTCAGCTATTCTCCACCTTATTTTTTGAGATACAGTTGTTCAACAAACCTGTAACTTGAGGATTTGGCAAGCCAAAGGGTCCCCTGCCTCTACCTCCCCACAGTTGGCATTACAGGCGCACGTGTCTGCATCTGGGGGAGAAGCTTGGGTCGTTGGGCTTGTAGGACAAACACTTTCCTGGTGGAGCCATCTTTCCAGCTCCACACATTGTTGCTTGCTTCATACCATTTTTCTGTTTATTTATTTTATGAGCAGGCATTTTTGTCTGTATGTATGCATATGTACAGCATGGGGATGCCTGGTGTTTGTGGATGCCAGAAGAGGGTCTTTGGATCTCCCAGGAATGGAGTTAGAGACAATTGTGTGTTGCCATATAGATGCTTGGAATCCAACCTTGGTCCTCTGGAAGAGCAGCCAGTGTTCCTAACTGCTGAGCCATCTCTCAAGTTCATTCATTTTATTTTATTTTATTTTTTTATTTTTTTGCGACAGGTTCTTTCACTGGCCAGGAGTTAGCCAAGCAGGCTGGGCTGGTTTGTCCAGCAAGCCCAAGGATCCACCCATTTCCATCTTCCCAGCATTGACATTTTAAATGTGTACTACCACATCTAGCCTACACAGGTCCTAGAGGTAAAACTCAAGTCCTCATGATTTCAAGGCACCATCACACCATCTCTACTGTTGCATGCCAGAAACAAACAAACAAACAAACAAACAAACAAACAAACCCCAAACCCAACAACAATAGCAACGACAACAAAAAACAAGAAAACAACAACAACAACAAAAACTACCAATGAACATTTTCAAGTGACAGTGTAGATACAAAAACCTAAGTCTAACAGAGCTCTCTGTTGAGGTGCAGGGGACAGTGACATTCTATAGAACTCTTGGATTGGTTCCTTGTCCGTTAAATATTGTGGCTTCAAAGTGGAGCTGACTCTGCAGTAGCTATTAAACATATTCATTGGATTTGCCAAGTTCTGGAAAAAGGAAGGCTATGTCTACCTTCATCCTCTTTGGGGAACCAATAGAAAACTCATGTCAGCCTTGAGCAGAAGAAAACCTAGAGACTCATGTGGCAGCACTGGCCAAGAAGGCTCCCCAAGTGTGACTGAAGGTACAGATGAATCCATTGGGCTGACTCTCTTTTCTGCTGAATTAGTGAATTGTACCTTTGGATAAAAACAGGACAGGTCCTGTCATTTCCACACACCATTCATAGATCATTCAGTGACCTTACTGTTAAGCGCTCTTTAACTCAGTTCCTATAAGGTTGGCTATCTCATCATTAGGTGATATATTATTGATATTACCTATTATGTATTGATTGCTTGTGCAATCAATCGTCCTTATTATCATTGTGTAGCAGATGGCTTTTTATAATACACATCTCCTGGAAATGTCAGAACAATTCTCCTGTATGTGCTTTGCACAACTGTGACCATTTGGATTTCTCTCCTGCCTTGATAACTGGAAAAATTCTAGCAGAGAGGCATTGTGGTCCCTCCTTCTGAATGTGAGTTCCCTGAATGGGAACACAGCTCAGATTCTGTTCCTCTTGCTCCTCTGAAGGCGTCTTGAAAAGATACCATCCTGCTCTGCTCCTAATAACTTAGAGAGCTGTAGTTGGCTGTACAAAGGTTAAAGGGGCAGAAACAAATAACAGGAATTCGTGTTGTACAAAGAGTCACCTTTGCTCCTAAAATTGATATATTACTTCCTAATCTGATCATGTAAAACATGGTTCTAAAGCCAACAGAAGACATGATAAAACCTGATATGCAGAACAATGTCCTTTGTAAAACAGATGATTGCAAAACACATTGAATGTATAAAGCATTATATGGATGCTTAATGATCACAGCAATTATTTTACAACTTAATTGCAGGAAAATTAAAGGAATAAAGTAGCTTAACAAGTCCAAAAACTTCTCGGACTCTGTAGCTTGAGGAAGATGAACGGGGGAGTTCGCTGCTTAATGTGACCTCCGGTGACTCTTAGACCTGCCTTAGACTTCTGTGACGTTCGAAGGCTGGAGACTTAGGGCTTCGTGCTTTCCGGCCAAGAATTCTACCAACTGAGCTACATCTTCACTTGCACAGTTTGTATTGAAGGTTTCAAAAACTTTAGCTGTTGGAGAGCCTTACTCGTCCTGAGCACTCTGTGAAGTGAGCTGGAGGTAAGTGGATTTTGAGCTTTATTATATTTGCCTGCCAAGTCTATTAAAGAGCTGGCTTACCACACTGTTCATCCAGACTGCTTATGGCCTTGGGATTTCTATACCTTTGGTCTTTGGCTGCAATATCCCCTACATAATAAACTGAGATTAAAGTTGTTTCTTGTCATGAGATGAATAATATTTAACACAAGGACTCGAGGCATCTACCTGAAAACCTTTGACCAAATCACTGGAATAATTTGATTTTTTTTTTAAATTATAATTTCACCGTGCTTTGATGTGAGTTGATTCACGGCCTCAAACAAACTGAAGGTTTGGAATGTATGCTCAGGCATAAGTGGCGGTCATCATTTACCAGGAGCGAAGCTTGAGCTGGGTCTGGAGGGCACTGTCCTGTGATTCCCAACCACTGGGGAGGATGAGGAAAATGAATGGAGGTATAAGCCTTGCTAGGGCTACACAGAGAGTTCAAGGCCAAGAGTGAGTTCAAGACCAACCTGGGCAGCTTAGTGAGACACACACTTTCTTAAAAAGAGATACAAAAGGATTGAGGTTGAACCCTTAGTAAGAATAAATCTACATAAAAAGCAGCTTCCTGAAGAGATGATAATGAAATATCTTTTTGTATTTAACGTTCAGATTTGCTGTCTCACAATCATTTGTAACTGAATCTACCCAATGCTTATCCCTTTGAGGTATAATCCTATATAATTTATCACCACTTTGTATACTACAATTAAGCGGCTTAATTCATTGGGCATCAGTTAAGGAAACATTTAGTATTTTAGCCCCATCATCCATAATCTATATTTATATTTTTCAGGTCATTAAAATGTCAAATTGGAATGGTCAAGAAAAGCAACAATAAAATTCAAAGAGAATCAAGTATTATCTCTACCCCATTAGAATTTGTTAATTGGATTTTTTACATTGAGCTGGGGCAGTAAATGAATATGACTGTATGTTTAGATATTCAACAAGATTGTCAAAGGGTCAGTTTTAGGAATAAATGTCTCACTCAAAAAGAGATTTTGGCTGGGCATGGAGGTGCACACTTTTAATCCTACTACTCAGGAGGAAGAGGTAGGTGGAAACCTGTGAATTTGAGGCCAGCCTAGTCTACAAAGAGAGTCCAGGACAACCAGGACTACACAGACAAACCCTGTCTTGAAAAAAAAAAGAAAGAGATTTTGTTGGCAGGTCAATAGTTGACTCTTTTGGAATGAAAATGGCTGGGCTTACATTTCTAGTATTTGCACAGATCCTTCTTTGATGATTTCTAAACATTTAAAATAACACATCTGTTTAGAAGTATGTTTGAAAGGCTAATGTCTGTGTTGAGTGGCATAATTAACAGTTAATGAACTCACTTCCCACTTCCCCTGGAATTATAATTGTTAACTGTTGTTGGTTAATCTAACAGAAGCCCGGGGCATTTATCAGAAGTGTTAAGAGTTGGAGGCTGCCTTGAATTTCCTCACACTCAAGCCTTGTGAAATTCAAACATACTTGGAAAATCTGGATGTCTTGTGAAAGCTCGTTGGTAACTTGTAATGGAGGCCGAATCTATTAGCAAAAGAAGTAAACAGCTTTTGGAGTCAAAGGGTAAATATGAGTAAGCATGCACATACAGTCGTGTTGACCATCTTCTGTTTATCAAGAGCACATGCATATACAACAGTCCTTGATAACCCTTGCTTGAAGAGCCTCTTGCCTGATTCCATGTAGTCATTCTCCTTTCTGCCCAATAATCTAAATTGTCAGGCTTTTTTTTACTTCATCCGTTTAATCACACAGGAGCTAGTGCCCAACATGGCAGAGGCTAGGTGACAGCTATTGCCAGAAGCACATTTGTGACATCTCCATAGTTGGAAGGACAGACTCACCTTAGAGATGTCCCCTCAACCACCAAGGAACAATTGCCCCAGAGGGTCAGAAGAAAGGCGGCTCTGTGTTTCTTTTCTTTCTGACCAGATACCAGAGGGGAATGAGCTGTGTCTGGAAAAGGCTGCATTGCAAAAGACAACAGTGCCACCGATGACATCTGAAATTTCAGGACTCCCGTGGACAAAGCTGATAGCTCCAAAGGTGCGCATGCCTTTGGGTTTTCCCACCCAGGCATGAAATATACTACATGCCAAACTCAACAGCACTTAGGACACACAGCTGTCAGGCTCTGAAGACCAGATGGCCACTAGAGGCTCTGAAAGTAAGTTCAGAACTTTGGAATGTGCAGACAGCCAAGGAAACACTCTCTTCTATTCCAGTTCTTTCTTCTGGCTCATGGATGTGTCCAATGTGCATAGCAGGAGCCCACCCAAATTCAGTAGCGAGGTATCAAAGCAGAGACAGGTGGGCTGGACCTGAGGAGCACAGTGTGGCATTTTGAAGGCCAGTCTGGCCTCTGTTGGAAGAGGCTGGGGGTTTGTTTCATATTGAAGTGCATAACTGTGTGCTTGGGGGGCTGCCAGGGGCAGATCAAGAGCTCAAGGCCACGATGGGCTCTAAGGTGAGACCTTGTCTCAAGAGCAATAAAACAACCACAGTAAAACTGGAAAGAAAAAGAAGAGTCTGAGGGTTAATGAGGACTTGTGCTGGGTGAATCTGCTGTGAAAGAATAGCAGAGTTTAGATTAAACACCTCTGTCTGCATCCAAGAGTATTTCCAGGTTTCTAGACCCATCCTCTGCAGGCCTGCGAGGCACCACCCTGTAGTACGTGAGGGTGCGCAGGAGGATGTGTGCAAGGCTGTGCTCAGACATGCACTGTGGCCTATCTGTAAGGGATCTGACTATCTGGTTTCCACAGATGGAGCCAGGGTGAGCTGGCACCAGGTCCCATGGACACCAAGAGATAACTATGCCTACTTGTTATGCACTCTTCCATGATTTTCTTAAAATTCTGTTGAAACACAAACTATAGCCCAGAGCAATTTTATGGGGTCTAAAACTTACACAGCTTAGGTGTTTCTTTAAGAGAATCAAATTAAAAATATAAAATTAGCTACAAAATGATCATTTTTGCAAATAAAACATTTTAAATCTGTCACATCACCAATAACAGAAAATTAAAAATATCCATATAACCTTTCTACTAATTGCCTGATACTATATATAGCCTTTTTTCCTTTTTTTTTTACTTCACACTTTAATTTGTCTCTTACCATAGCATATTTCTATATAATATTATTTATAGAAAGACTAAGAATACTGTCTTTCCAATAGCATGGTTGGTCTCAGTGTGGCTTCTTTTTGTGTTGATGTCCTAGCTGTGTAAAACTCAGAGTTATTGCTCCAGACTTGTATTAGACAGAAAGCTTATGTCCACACAAAATCTATGTGCTAAGCCCTAATAACCAACGTGAGACTCTCAGGAGCGTGGGCTTTGGAACAGTGACTGGGTCATGAAGATGGGGGCACTTATGAGTGAAAATTTGTGGCCTTGTATTGGAAGCCCCAGAAAGCTCAGGGCGAAATTAATGATGCATGTGCCAAGAGAAGGCTCTCTTGTGTGCATGCATGCATAGGTGGTGTGTGTGTGTGTGTGTGTGTGTGTGTGTGTGTGTGTGTGTGTGTGTTTGAGGTGCATATGTGCATGCATGTAGTGTCCAGAGTGTAACTGCGTATTATTTCTCCTGAGGTACCACCTGCCTTGCCTTTAGAGACAGAGTCTCTTATTAGCTTGCATCTCACTATGGTCCATGAGCCCAATGGTTCTGGCTGTTTCTGCCTCTCCAGTTCCTGGGATCATAAGAACAGGCCTCCACTCCTGGCCTCTTATGTGGGCACCGGAGACTAAACTCAGGTCCTTACACATGCATGGTAAGCTCTTTGGCAATTGAACTGATTCCCTAGGCCCTCTTTGGGCATCTTGGTTTTTAGTTTCTCAGCCCTGAGAACTGTGAGAGATTAATTTCTGCTCACTAAGCCTTCCAGTCTATTGTCTCATAGTGAGCTAACTTATCTAAGAAACCTAAAGTATAGGAGTTCTAATGGAGTCTTTTATCCAACTTGCCATCAAGAACCATGGATGCTGAGGGTTGGCTAGTTAACCTCACTGAGTGGACTGATGACAAAAGGCTTACCTTGTTGCCAAGGAGAATAAAGCCACGTAGTGATTTCTTACAACTTTATATGTCTGCTAGAAAAATCTCACTGAGCAGCTTAGCTTTCACCTAATTCTTGTTTACTCCCCATCCTCCACATGAACAGACCCCCCTCAAGGCAGTCTCAGGCTTGGCGGGCAAAGCAGTGTTCAGCCTTGCCTTGCCCCTTTGTGACAAAACCTCCCTCAGTGGGAACTGCTGCCTTAGGCAGATTATGCCATTGCCCCCAAAGACTTGATTGAATTCTGAGAGTAATTAGAAAAAGGAAATTGCTGTAGGAGCATGGGCTTTCCCCATGACTTCGTTATGAGATGAGAACCCTTTCCTCTGGTCCCTCTTCCTACCCCAGTCATAGGACAGTGCCCACCAACTAACAATTCCTTCTGACAGACTGAATGCATTTTCATTTTATGCAGTTTTCACTCCTAAAAGCTCTCCCCATCTCCATCCCACTTCTCATAAAGAAGACTCAAAAATCAGGCATCCCAGAAGCCTCTCGTGATGGAAATTGCCAGGTCCTCACTGTTTTCCTTGAGCACATACATACTTATTTCATTCAATAATGTACTGGAAAATGACTTGAACCAATAGATTCCTCAATTTCCCTGACCATTATAATACAGTTGTAAGCACGTTTTTAGTAGATTGAGACTTTAAAAAAAATTGGAGCCATATAATTTTTTGTTTGCAGGCGTACATCTTGCCTGAAGCAATGTCTGAATACAAGGTACATCATGGCCTCACTCTGCACAATACTACAGGAGAATTTTCTTCCCTATTTTAGTCAGTCTCCATCTGAGGCAATTATCTTGTACTTCCTGAGATGGAGTCCATCTTTTCTCAAGAGGACCATACCATCACGGAGGAATTTTAAGTGTTCTGCTGGATACTACTTGTACAGACGCATGTTTATTTCCACGGCACACCTGTTCCTGTGGTGGTGGGACCCCTCTGCTCTAGCCAGCCTCAAGCACTACCTAAGCGCAGTTCTCCCCCTCCATCTTCAGAAGAGCAAAAATAGCCTGAATGTACTAACAGCTTATCAAGAGCCCCAAACTGTCCCGAGCATTTTCATGTGCATTAGCTCATCTCCTCCTTACAGCAGCTTGGTAAAATAGCCAGAAGAGAACACTGAGGCATGGAGAGATGCTGCCGCTCTTTTAGGAAACGGAGCAAGACTGAAGCCCGGCAAGACTGAAGCTCCAGAGTCTGAATTACTGTTTGAAGGTGACGAATGTTTCTTGTGTGGTTTGTATGAGTACAGACAGATGAAATCAGGTCTTCGTAATGACCCAAAGCCCTGATCAGTTCTCTGTTTCCATTTTCCTTCTCAGCTACTGTGAGGTGCACAGCATGCTGGGCCATCCTTAACACCAGTTACCCAATGGTGCTTCCATGAGGAAATATGGTAGAACATAATATAGCATAGAATTTTAAATCGATTAGATCACCTATGCCACTTATACACCAACACAGTTCATTCATGTCTACGTGACATTCAGTTGCACATATTAGTGTCCATGTATATACATATGAAGAAAATTAGGGTTTTCATTCAAGAACACATGTGGCCAAATGCAAATGCCCTCTTTGAAGGGGCCAGCTTCCTGATAAGACATACGATGCTTCTCACTGCAAGCTGCAAGACCTTTGGGAATGTATATATGTATGTGTGTGTGTGTGTGAGCACACTTCCACAAGATTAATTCTTTTTTTTCTCGCTGCTCATGCTACCGACCTCACAAATCTGTGATTCACAGCAGGAATGTAGCCCGGAACTTCTGCTATGTAAGCAGCTGCAGATGCTTCGAATACCATTGTACATGTGATCCAGGACTTGCTATAAATTTACCCCTAAAAATAAAGTAACAAGTGACTGAACAGCAATGAGAATTAATCACTGCAGTGCGTGAATGGAATGTGCCAGGCTCTACCTCAAAAATCCTTTTATAAAAAGATTGTTATAATTAAACCCCAAAGAAATACCCAAGGATGCTGTGCTGGAGTAAATGCGCTGAGCACTTTGAGAGAAGAATTTGATTTTCTCTTGTAGGGAGAGACAGAATGAGAAGGAACTTCCCTGACTTCTCTATCATTTGAAAGAGGGTAGTATTATTACATCACGGAGGAATGCATCCTACAAAGGAATTTCAATTGGACTCAGGCTTGGTACTTTGAGAGTTTTTTGAATGCTGAGAGGATAGACAAGCCTCCTGGTTAAGCTGTTTGCCATGGAGGGAAATAAATTCATTTCTAAAATTTGCATCATAGCTTGTGGCAAAGATTAACTTGGTGATTCAGAACTGGGAATAACCTTGTGATAGTATCATGCATCTCATGCCACCAAAAGTCAGTCTCAACCATGAGGTTTGTGAAAAAGCAAAAGCCCAACACAAAGGGAGAAAGTGGAAAACACCAAGACTCTAACTTCTTCAGATCTACCCTTTTCCTATGTCTGTAACATGTACACTCCAAATCCAATGACCGCCTTCCCTGTAACACTCTAACATGCAAAAAGAAAAAAAAAGGGGAGGGGGAAGGGCAAGAGATATGGAGAGAAAGAGAGAGGGAGTGGGAGAAAGGGATAAGGATGGGATAACAGAATGAAGACAGAAGGAAGGAAAGAAGAAATAGAAGGGGGTAGAAAAAAAACAACTAGTTTAGAAAAGAGAGAGAGAGAGAGAGAGAGAGAGAGAGAGAGTGTGTGTGTGTGTGTGTATAATATACACTAACCATCGTTTCAAAAAATTCCAAGAAGCTCTTAAAGGCTTTTATGGTGTTGTTTGGGAGGAGGAAGGGGGCCAATGGGAGGGGGAATGAGGAAAAGAGAGGATAACTGGAATAAAAGTATCATCAAAATATGTTAAATGCATGTATGAAAATGTCTCAATGAAGTCCACTATTTTGTACAATTAATGCACAACTAGAGAGAGGGAGAAAGAGAGAGAGAAACTTCCTGGTTCTGAGTACATCACAGGTAAAATGCTTGGACAATCTGAAAGAAAATTTGATTGAAGATCAATATTTAGACATGGGAAAAGCAGGAGAGAGTTCTTAAAGCCACTTGAAGTACTGGAGATGAAAGGTTAAAAGCCTTAAAGACTAAAAACTACATTAACAACTGAACAGCAAATACCATCAACAGAGACTTGGAGAAATCAGCAGAACAAATGTTAAATCATGAAGAGCTGGAAAAAGAATTCATTTCAGCAGCCAAAAAGATTTCCTTTTCTCTGTATTCCAAAATCGATTGTTTTGTAGATGGAAGTACTAATGGGTAATTTCTATCCAGTTCTTTAAAGCAAGCCACACAAACCACTCTGGGCTGCAAAGGGCAAAGGTCAAAGCAGGTAGATTCTTCAGACAGTTTCACCAGTGCTCTGCACTGTGTCGGGAGCTGCAAGTGTTTCTACGAGGAATAGGGAGCATTATGATCTGCATCTGCCTCAATCTCACATGAATCAGGTTTAAAACCACATTATATCGTAAGTCTGGCTCTTGTTGCATTCAGCTAGAGTTTCTAGAGTAGCTGTGCAGCAGGGTGAACCACAATGATGGTAAGCAGCCCGGCTGGTTATAGTTATTAATCTACACTTTACCAGGTAGTGAACAATATTCTCTTTAATTATGTCATTTGCAGAAAAGAGGATGAAACCAGAGATCATGTGTTAAGTGAAATAAAACCTGATTCAAGAGCACAAACATGTTTTCTCTCATCTGAAGAACCTAGATTTAAATTATGTGTTTCATGAGATGTGAAAGTAGAAAGGGGACGATGAAGGAACAGGAAAGAATCTAAGAGGAAGAGGAAAGAAAAACAAAAGAGGATCCGGGAGGGTAAAAACAACAACAAATATTGCATGCCTTATCTTATATTTTACACATGCGTGCACACACACACCTACACACATCATGAAGGCAGAAGGAGGAGTACTGTTTGAGATGAGGAAATGAACTAATGGGAGGAAGAGAAGCAACAAGGTAAGGTGATGAGGTAAAAATTAGAAAGACATGATACACATGCATGATAATGTCAAAAACATATATTTTGTCATAAAGCTTTATTTACTACGAGTTTTAAACCATCATAGGTAGAATCAAGACTGTACTTCCTTGCCATCATAGAATAAGATGACCATGGTTTAGATTCTACTGCTAACATTGTACTTACTGGTAGTGAAAAATGAAATATTTCCTCTAAGGTCAATAAGATAAGGATACCCACTCTCTATGTGTCTATCCTGCTGTTGTTGGAAGTCTTAACCAGAGCAATTAGTTAAGAAAAATAAAAGGCATCTCCCAAATATAACAATTAATGATAAGATTTATCAAAGTTGCCATATACAAAACCATTACTCAAAATCTGTTGTGTTCCTATGCACTGATGATGAACAATTCAAAAGAAAAAGCAAGAATATGATCCCATTAAAGGCATCAGAAAGAATTTATTACTTAGGAAAGTCTGCACAGCCCAAGTTGATGCCAAAGTTTAAAGGAGTTCCACTCAAGATCCAGTAGAATGTTTAAAGAAGTAGAAAAAAGTCCTAAAGTCCATATAGAACCAGGAATCTCAGTAAGTAGCCAAAATAATCTTGAGAAAGAGCAAAACCAAGACCTCAGTGCATCCTGATTTCAAAACTTAGAGAGAGACTGTAATCAAAACAGTATTGTGTTGGCAAAAGGAGAGTCATGTGAGCCTTCAGCAGAGCAAGCCCAGAAACAAACCCTTATATCAAGTCAAATGATTTTCAGCAAAGACACACAGTCTACACAAGGTGCAAAAAATAGTTTCCTTTACAACTGGTGCAGGGAAAGTTAAAAATATGAAGTCAAATGAATGTTATTTGTGCATACGAAATGTATCTCAAAATATATTAAAGAACTAAACATAAGACTTGAAATTATAAAGTTCCTAGAAGGAAACAGGATAAAAGATTCGGAACATTATAATTTTTTGGAAAAGACACAGGCAACAATAGACGAATGGGACTCTATAAAACTTGAATCTTCTGTGCAGCAAAGAAAACAATGTGGAGAAAGGCAAGCTACTGAACAGGAGAAAACATTGGCCACCATGTATTGCACAAGGGCTTGCTGTCCAGTATGTGTGACAGGTTGCTATAACTCAACAGCAGCAAAAAATAAATAAGTAGCCCCATAAAAAGCTAGCAAATGACTCGAATAGAGATTTCTTCTGGGAAGCCACCCCAATGGGGAATGAGAACATGAGAAGATGCTCAGTTGACTGATGAAGAAGGAGACACATAACGAACATGACAGGACCGCTGCCCTCACAAACTCACAGCAACCATGGATGCCTGCACAAGACCAAGCCCGTCAGTGTTCCAGCGTGGGTCAAAGAGGGTCTCACAGGCTTCCAACCCTAAGTGAGGGGCTATTGACAGCTGATGACAACTGGGGGAAGAAAAGCTAATTTTCCTTACGGGTGTTGTTCCCGGTGGGTTTACCAAGCTCCAGGCGATAAAAAATTATGAATAGTACAAATTCAACTTGGTGGGTTATTTAAAAAGGAAAAAAAAGAGGACACAAGGTTGGGAGAGAGTGAGAGGTAGAACTGGAAAGTGGGTGGAGCTGGGGTGAATATTAACAAAATACATTGTATGTCTGTATGAAATCCTCAAAGAATTAATAAATGTATTATACCTGAAATAAAAGGACCATGGAAAGGATTAAAAAAAGGGAAATGCAAATCTAAACCACAATGATTTGTTGTCAGCTCATATCTTAGATTAGGTACTATCTGAGACTTAAAATATTGAATGGTGTTTGGAATGGGAAAGTAGAGACCTTTGTGTGTTGTTGGCAGGATTATAAAATGGTGTACCAACAGAAAACAATAGGGAGGCTCTGCAAAAGGATTAAAATTAAGTTTCCATATCATATAGCAATGTGTCCTAGCTTTATGCCAAAAGAACTAGAACTAGGTCCAAGAGGTTATTTTCCCCCTGTGTTAGCTAATACATCAGTCACAATAGCTAGGAGGTAGAAGTGATGAGCTTTTCCATCGACATGTGTGTGGATCAACCAAATGTGAAGGCTGTGTACAATGAAACACCATGAAAACCCAGCATAGGCCACAATACGGAGGAACTTTTAAGACACTATGCTAAGTGAAATAAACTAATCACAGATAGCTAAATCATACACAATTTCATTTGCATTTGGGGTCTAAAATAATCAAATTGAGAAAGAGAAAGTAGGGTGATGATTGTTAGGAAAGGGGAAAATGAGATTTTTGATGCGTCTAGAGTTTCAGTGACACTACTTGAAAAGGCTCTAGAGATCTGGTGGCATAAAGGTGAATGAAATGAACAGTGTCTTACTGTGAATTTATATGTTTTAATGATGTAGAATTTAAGACATGTTTTGGGCCACAATGGGGGAAAAAAAAAAGACTGCCATATTTTTTCAAGTTCTGTTTTGTGCAATTTTCTTCTTCTTGGTGCTGCCAGGTTAGCGCTTCTTACTTTTGATGCTATCTACTTTCTAATCATCTCTTCTAGTGAGCCAACAGTGTTTGGCTCAATGACCCATACCTCTTCCACATTTATGAGCGTTGTGTACAGCTGATTGCCTCTCAGTGGCCCACTTCCCTACTTACTCTTATAAACACGCTTCCGAGGGTTGGGAATCATCAAATGCTTGGCCTTGGCATCCTGCATTTGATATTAATGAGCCTGCTCCAGCTTTCCCAGAGTGGGGATAGCTAATTAACCAGATGGTGGGGGATCAGCTATTGCCTCAGGCTAGAGGCTACTTTTTTGACAAGACCTTCATGTTTGGCCTAAGGAACACAACAGCCTCAAGTCAAAAGTCTTGTCACCACTCAGACACTGCAACCCTTCATCTAGAACTCACTG